GATCGTTAAAGTTCTGCATTGGCAAACGTGATAAAAGAAACAGGTCAAGTAAAAAAAAAACAGAGGAAGTATTACTTAAGAAAATTTCTTTATCGCCGACCATTATTACAACCCTTTTTGTGAAAAGTGATGCTTTATCAAAAGTGTTGTCTTGGTTAAGTGCTCTTCTCTCCTTGATCAAATGCTGAGGAAAAGGAAGTTAGGAGTAAGTTTTCTCTTTTTTATTATTTATTTTGACTTAAGCTATATTCAACATGAAAGAAAATGTGAAAGAGAATGGGAATAGATTGGACCCCCACCCCCACTTGAATGACGGAAAACACGCGCATACAAGACTTTCTTAACATGGTCAAAGTGTACATACATATTAGTGTGTGCTTTATATTGTGAGTGCAATTGACATGCTTTGACTCTTGTGCAATACCATGGGACTTAATGCCTAGACTTAATTAAGGATTTGACAAGGTATTATTATTAACAAAATAATCGAATTGATTAGCAAATTGTTTAATTAGACACATAGTGATGACTCGAGCAAGATACTGAACTGTCACCAAAACAACAGGATTGTCGCCGCACTTTGCAGTGTAGAGCCAAAGGACAGAGCTGTCGTCAGGCGCTGCACAACACAGTGTGGCGCTGCAGTCCAAATCGGGGCGCCATTGCAGGAACGTTAATCTGGGACTGCTTTCAGTATTTTAACTCTACGGGACGTGCCTAAGTCAATTCCGATTAAATTTTTAGACTTTAATTACTCAAATTAATTAATTAATTAATTAATTAATTAATTAGGTGAAGTCCTTTTAGTCATTAATCAGTTTATTTAGTCTTAAAGAAAAGTCAAACAAACGGTTAGGAAAAACACATAGAGTATGCGCAACAAATAATGCACAATTAGTCGAGTAGGCACAATATGATGCAATGAGTTCGCAACCTAACCATGGCTCTAGTTCTCTAAAGTCCGAGATATGGGTTAGTCAAAGAGGGTCCATGGTTAATTGTCCAGTTGCACCGCGTGGATGCCTTACCTTTTGAAGGGTTGGCGCGAGTGGATGGGACACCGCGAGTTAAAACTCGCTTCCATGGTTTGGTGAATTCAACATTCTCGGATGTACCCTTTGTTGCACAGAGCGTTCAATCAGGTAGATGGAGCATGAATTCCTAGAGGGTTATGTCTATATGTAGAACACATATGGGTTTTAGAAAAGGGAGAAAAAACTCAATCAAAAGTAGGATCGAGCAAACAATGCTAAAAACTGGTTAAAATTAGAACGCATATTTCTAGCTCAGTATTGGAAGAACTTGGCGCCAGCAAACAGAGGCCGGCGCCGCAATTTGGCTCTAGCGCCTTGCGACGGGAGTGTCGCCTGGCGCCAGAGTCAAATCGTTGGCGACATACTCTGTTTTCTGACGCTAGTTCCTACATGCCTCAGCAGCTTTCTGTGCTCAATAAAATTTTCCAGTTTCGCGCAGCATTATTTCGATCCTAGTTGTAAAAGATATTCCTCAAATTTCCTACGAGTAAAAATCCTATGTTTTAACTCATTACGGATGTTCTTTCCAATGAGATCTTTTTTCTGCATATGACAATAATGTTAATCAAAATTACGCACATGAAATACTTAGAACTTTTCGAGTCTCATCCACTCATTCTAAATCATTGCCAAATTAAATTTTACGAATTAAAATAGAAATCCTCCCCAGTGGAGTCACAAAAAACTGTAGGGAATATTTCAAGCATTACCCCAAACTTGAACCCCATTGTGATCATACACTAAAGTACGGTGGAATCCAAAGGGAAGGAAGCTAGAGCAAAAGAGTCGCCAACAAGTTATAGGAACTTGTAAACCGTTCACAGGGTGAAGGTCACACCCCTTAACGATCCAGGACTTTGGAACCATGAATGGTAGTTTAGGGATGAAGGTACAAATCCAACCTAAAAGAGATTGAACCTGCCCTAATAAGCCTCTAATTTATTCTAATCGTATTCTTGTGCGCTTTCTAACTAACATGCAATCAATAGATTAACCCTAAACTTGTTTATCTATGTTGGTTGATTATTAATGCACAAATAAATCTATTATTGACGATCATTTGAATTATAATCGAATTAACCTAAATAAGATTATTAATTATCTTATTAAGCATGATTACAAGTACAAATTTCCTTTAAACATACATGAAAGGTGTGATCAAGCAATAACAATAAACATCAAGTAACATAATAATAATCATAAATAATAATCACGGCAATAATCACAATATTTATAATCAATAATCATCATAAAATAATCCTGTTAAAGCATAATAATAGCAAGATTCTAGTCATGATACTAACAAGGTTAATAACAAACCCTAGCATGTCACTAAGCAATAAAAAATCAAAGCTTTAACCCTAACATGATACTAACATGAATATTAGGAAAAGAATAGGAAGCATCGTAGGAATCACAATTGTCATATTTGATATTAGAAATTATAGTTATTACCCTAAACATGATACCAGGAAGATCAAAACATCCTAAACATGATTTCTATATCATAATATCAATTAAATCAATTAAAGCACTTACTTAGATGTCTCGTATCTCTTTCTAATAACAAAATACACTCGTTAGTAACTTCAAGGAAAATATAAAATCAAATAATTAAATCAAATAACTGAAATAGAGATTTGGAACCAAACCCTCAAAAATTAAAACCTTTCATGTCTAGGGCGAAGGCAACTTCTAACTTGGCTAGATGTTTCTAGATCTTGTGAATGCGGAATTTTGTATGCAAAAGGCTAGTTTAGAAAAGAGAGAGAGAGAGAGAGAGAGAGAGAGAGAGTAATCAAGAGATTCTTGATGAATGTTGGTGAGAATTAGATGGAGAGTTGATGAGAATTGATGAAAGAGAGAATGAGAGAGAATAAGAATTGATGATTAAAAACGGAGGTTTTAGGAGGCTATTTATAGAGAAAATCAGCCGAATATGATAAAAAACGAATTAGAGTTTCAAAAAGAATAAAACACGACTGCAGCGCCAAACGCCAGGTCTGGCGCCAGATGCTGGTCCTGTCGCCAGACGGTGGAAATAAGTTTCCACGCGTTTTCTTATTTTGATAAAATTTAGCCGTACGAGAGGGAAAAATTGTATTTTCCTTAAAAACACTTCTTTTATTCTGATTAAAACTTTTAAAAGCCAATTAAAGTCAATTTATCAATGCTAATTAAATTAGGAATGAAAAGAATCTTCTAAAAGAATCTAGAAGACTATAATCAATTCTAATCGCATTAGGAATGATAAATCAATTTTAGGCCCTCCTCTAGGTCATTGGGCCACATATAAATATCAAACCGAGCCCAATTTAGTAATTTGGCCATAACTTCCTCATTATTCATCGGAATTGGGCTTATAATATATCGTTGGAAAGTTCTTTTCGAATCCGACCCAACTACACTATTATTGGACCCTTGCCATGAACCAAACAAAACTGGATTGGCTGTTTTCTTAAAATAGGTTTTCAAAAACAGAGAGAAAGAAAAGAAATAAAAACTAACCGCAACACTAGACTTTCCACACTTTCACTTCATTCGATTATGATTAGACGTGAAAGATATTCATCACTGGGTTTGGTTTTGGGGAGACACAAATGGGTGTCTACACTAGGTAACAAGTCAAGTGGTAAGTGCGGATTGAAACCATACACTGCTTCAAATGGTGTTTTTCCGGTAACTATGCAATGAGAGCGGTTGTAAGCAAATTCAACTTAAGGAAATTTAAGATCCCAATCTTTCATGTGTTTTCTAATGATAGCTCAGAGAACGGTGGACATGGTACGATTATTTACCTCGGTTTGGCTATCAGTTTGAGGGTGACTAAAGGTACTAAACAAGAGCTTGGTTCCCAGTAACTTCCACAAGGTCTTCCAAAAGTAGCTATAGACCTTAGGATCTCGATTCAACACAATAATTTTTGGAATGACATAAACCTTCACCACTTCTCTAAAGAACAAGGTAGCCACATGAGAAGCGTCATCGGTCTTGTGGCAAGGAATGAAGTGAGCCATCTTACTAAAATGATCAACCACAACAAACACGGAATCATTTTGCCTTTGGGTGCGAGGGAGAGCAACCACAAAATCCATACTAAGATCATCCCATAGGTGACTAGGAACCGGAAGAGGAGAGTAGTTTTCTTCACGGAATTGACTCTTAGCCTTGTGACAAGCCCCACAACGAGCTATTACATCTTGCACATCTCCAAACATCTTGGGCCAATAAAAATGTTCTTGAAGGATTCTTTAACAAGTAACCGCCGATGAAAGCATTTTGGAACACAAAGTTTGTTTCCCTTAAAAAGGAAACCTTCTTGCACCATGAAAGAGCCATCGACCCCTTTCTCACACTTCTTCATCAACCCACCAAAATCCTCATCATCACCATACAACTCTTTGAGCAATTCAAACCCTAAAAATTTTGCATCAAGAATAGTGATCATACAATGCCTCCTAGAAAGAGCATCGGCCACAACATTGTTCTTCCCTTCCTAGTATTTAGAAGAGAAATTGAATGATTAGAGGAATTCAACCCATTTGGCATGACCTTTTTTACTTGTATTTACTAATAACAACAAAATCCTTGCCTAAAATAGAAAAAGTGTTACCTTGTATGTAAGACAACACATATGAGGTGTAGTTTATGCCCTCGTTGTCTATTCATAAGGCAACACATTTTTATTCAAAGGCAACAATTTAAAAAGTCAATGTAAAATGATACCTAAGGCAACAATTTTACAAAGGCAACAAGTAAAAACTGTTGCAATCTTAGAAAACAATTTAAAAGTGTTTCCTTATGTAATAAATATGCTACAACCTTTTTTACTTGTATTTGCTAATAATGACACATAATTGTTGCCTAAAAAGACAACACTTAAAAAATTATGATACATGAATTGAAAGAACTAAAATGAATAAACGTGTGAACACAACAATAGAGAACAATTAGTCTAATGGGAAGTTGAACATAAATATAGATGTGATTTTTTTATATAATATGGCATGTGAATTCATCAAAATCCAAAAAATAATATCCAAGTAACATCACTACACAATGTATCTACGACTATAAATCCTAAATAGATCCACAAACAAGTACTTTATTTATACTACTACTTGTTTGCACCTAACTCTATATATAATGGAGGGATTGTAACGTCCAAAACGGGAAACAAGTCAATTGAATATAGGCAATCCCTAAAGCTCCAATAAATCAGCTCTTCATCACTGTATGTCTTCAATATATGTCGTTCTTTCATGTACTTTACACCTTGTAATACCAATCAAATAAGCAAAATTAGAGAATAATATAGTTTTTTGAAAAAATTAAGAAAGATAATTGAAATTCTAAACAAAGAATTAAAACCTTTGGCTAGTATGTCAAGAAAAAAATACAAATAACGAAATTCATAAAGCAATTTTTACATTCATCCAAGATGAAGGGAAGAAAATAGACAAACAACACCCATTAGTAAATACCTTAGATATTCACCAAGCATAGATTAGGAAGATAAAGTGCACTTAAAGGTTTGGAGGAATTAAATACCATTGACTTAATTGCCTAAAGACAAAAAATAGCACATATCAACTGACATCACAACATGCTTGCAAACATAAACCAGTGAAATAATGAACCTCGTTTATTATTGTTAAATCACCTTGACAAAACTTATGAGATCTCCAAAAGGTTCATGTGTCATGAGTCCATGGCTTCTTCAATTCTTTAACTGAATAATTTCTTAAGCTGACAATCAGGCCCTGGATGAAAACTAATACAAGCAAATATAATTATAGAGATTTGTAATAGAGGATAGATCGATCACAGAGAAGGGGAAGCCTAGTTCCATTTATTTATTTTCCATACTTGTTTGGACAACTCGAGACCAATAGGTTCAGCCATTCCTATACCAGCCTACAATATCAAATGACAGGTTTCAGCTTCATCGTTATTAAATATCAATAAGAACCACTTTACACTCGAGCTTCAAGGTCAAAGAAAAAAAAGGTATCATTCTTACCTCTCCTGCTCCAAGGAATAAAACTGTGTGTTCTGCCAAGTTGCCACCAAGTAATTTCCGTGCCGCAACAATTCTTGTTAGGACAATAGATGCAATTCCCTATGCAGAGGAGGATAGAAAAAAAAAGGGTTAGAGCTAACACAAAGTAAACTATTACATAAAACCTATCTATCTCATCACATACCTGAATTAGTGAAAATTACAATTGAATACAACATGACTTGTTGAGTATTTTGAGAGTAGCTTGAAGGCATTATGGTTGGTAAAGTATTCGAAATTAAGTTATAAATCCAATTAACACAAAAGTTTAAAACATGAAAGTATACGAATTACTTAAAATAATGGAAATTATAATCATGGACAGTAGTAACAAACTTGTATAAGAACTTTTCTCCATAGTTATGCTTTACTGCACCATGAACTCCTCAAGAAACTCATTATACTCCTACAACAAAAATAAAATTACCCACTAACTTTTCATCACATGTATCAAAGAAAAAAAAAAAGCTTTATAACCTTCCAAGTGGCTCTTCTTTGTCTTAGACAAATGTAGAACTCACCGTTAAGCATTTTCTCATAGTAAGTCCTAACATCAGTGGTTATTGGCAAACACTGAAACAAGAGAGCTAAGACGAACCTACTCAGATTAATTATTAAACAAAACAAATTCACCAAGTGTCTATAATGCTTACAGACAAACTCCTCCCTGTGTTGTTTAATAAGCCAATTTTCCCATAAACATGTTCATTTTTACAACTACGAAATCATACAATTATTACAATAAGTCAATAATAGTGATCTATTTAGAGCTATGGTACATCTACCCACCTGACATCAAAGATCCCCGAGTCTCAAAATCCGTTTCTGTCATAACTATAACTTGTATGGTTCTCTCAGGCCAATTTGTTAAAACTTCAAATATTCTTCTGTTGTTAAAGCCAATCACTTCAAGTTTAGAAATCCACCAAAATCAAGCATTTATTTACAATGCAAAACCATACTTTTCCTTTAAACTAATGTTGACCCTGAGGATACTTAAAGATGCTTCCATATCTGTGACAGTATATACAATTATACAAATCCACATATTAATTTAAGAGATAATTTGTAAGAAAAATAGAGGGAAAATAGAATTAAAATTAATAAGAAAATGCAGAGTATTCATTTTAGCAACCCCACCCAACTCAATGCAACAACCTTACATAGGCATCAAGTGAAAAATAATAGCCCCCCTGCGATAGAACCAAGGAAGCACACCACAGAAATTTCTAGAAGGCATAACATTTAGCATACAATTCCAAATTGAGAAATTTTTGAGCCTAGATTGGATAACTTTTCAAGATCTATAACTTTTATCAAGGTACTAGGGGATAAAAACGACTGCAAGTCCATAATATTTGGACGAACAGAACTGGAACTATAGGGCAACTACAAAATAACAGCAGCACTAATATAACAAGGTAGCAACAATTCCTGCAGCAGGCAAACCAAATATAGTAGCAATTGGACAGCAAAATTATTATAGCAGTAGGGTTAATATTCGAGCAACAATATTATAGAGTCGACAATAACACTAGTTACGCCTTTTTCACATAAAGCAACGCTAACACCAAACTCTCACATATAGCCCACATTCTTGAACATTGATGTTAAACACACGCAAATTATTCCTACTAAACATTAATGTACCAAAATTGCATCCTACAAAACATTGTATAGTGAATTATTTCCATTAATAAACACATATAATCAAGTGGAGATGACAATATTTGGGTACATATCTAAAGTGAAAATTGAATGTACAACAGCTCATACATTAATGAAATTAATGGAATTCTGACATCTAACTTTATTTCTACAATATCATCCACGCAACTTCAAGCTAATCAGGGTAAATAATGATTACATAATCAAGTCATTAATTTCATGAAGAAGGTTGGATGAGCTTGTATTCTTTTTTCCTCTGAATTTTGATTGAAAAAAATCAATTCATTAATTTACTGAAAATTATATTATCCCATTATATGCTTTTGTCAATGACACAATGACTTATCTGCAAACTCTTATGATTATCAATTTTTTTTCAATCAAACAAGCACATGTCCTAAACTATAAATTTACATCGATATTGAAGCATCAAAACCAATCAGATTAGTCAATAAAGATCAAAAATTTCCAAGTCAAAGCCTTCTTAATTATACTATTTCAAATATAGAATTAGGGGAACAAAAAAAAAAAAAAAAAAAAGGTTTAATCTACATCGTCATAAGTCATAAATTCACAATATTATGGTGAAAAAGTAAAGAATGGTAAAGGGGAACCTGGTAGCAGCAGTAGGCAGAGAAAGAGCTTCATATCTTAGGGTTTTAACCGTAGGCTTCTTGGATAAGGATTCCGATTGATCCATCGTATCATATAACTAATATATAAAGCTAAACTTTAAGTCAGATCACGAGACAGCGACACTTGACATTCTAACTTTTCGCCAAGTGTCGCGTCACGTTGAATAGATTAAAATACACTTCATAAGATTAAAAAAGTTAGTTTAGAATTTTATTTTGAATCAAATTTGGATAGAATTTTAGAATAAAATTGTTAATTTAGAGTTTTATTTTCAATAAAATAAAATTTGAATGTCACACCACGTTGGATAGATTTAAATAGAATTCAGAAGATAAAAAAATAGTTTAGAATTCTATTTGGATAGAATTTTAGGATAAAATTGTTAGTTAAAAGTTTTATTAGGATAAAAAAATAATTTAGAATTCTATTTGGATAGAATTTTATTTTGAATCAAATTTGGATAGAATTTTAGAATAAAATTGTTAATATAGAGTTTTATTTTCAATAAAATAAAATTTGAGTGTCGCACCACGTTGGATAGATTTAAATAGAATTCAGAAGATAAAAAAATAGTTTAGAATTCTATTTGGATAGAATTTTAGGATAAAATTGTTAGTTAAAAGTTTTATTTTCGATAAAGTACCAATTTTTTAGATGTACAAATTGAATTATATTTTATTCAAAAAAAATTATTAGATTATAATTCTAAAAAATTATCATATAAATTTACTTTTTTATATCATAATAATATTTTTTGGAGCGAAGGAAATACTTCAAGAGTAAAACATACATTTATAATATATACTAACCGGTTAAAATAATATAGTTCACAATCTAAGCTAATAGAATTTTATAACTATGTAGACATGTCAATTAGGGTCGGGTCATGAGTAATTTCGGATTGAGTCACTTTAGGTTACGAGTCAAAACTGTTCAACCCTTGCCTAAAGTTTTGGGTTCGAATCAACCCAACGGCATTTGAACATTTATTTAATTTAATTTATTTTTTGCTAAATTTTTTTTTATGTATTAAATCGAACATTTTCACTAATATTATTAGGCATTACTTTGATATATATAGAATAAAAATTAATCTTAAAATTTAATAAACAACCCGGGCATCGCACGGGGCACGATACTAGTATTTCTAAAAATCAATTCTGAAAACAAATGAAATTGGAGATAAAAATTTAAGGGGGTATTTACCGGGTAACGCCCGCATTTTTAAAAATACATACTTATATACCCTCTCTTAAATAACCCATCAAAACCTTTTGTTTAAACTTTTACCTTTCTCTCTCTTCACCCTTTTCACCTACCCTTTCTCTTTCACCCAAAATTCAACCCCCATATCAACCACCACCACCGGTTACCACCATAGTCAACCACCAATTTTTTTAATATTTTTTTTAAGAAATTTAAGCGTTGACGGTACAAGGGGGCTCATATGTCTGGAAATCACAGAGACAAAGGCGTCGTCTTCAGCGAACAGGTGAGTCGTTTCTCTTTTTTTTTTTTTTTTTCGTCGACGTTGAGAAACGCCTGGAGATCTGGAATCTCAAGGCTTGAAACTCCCGGAAAATCCGGATCTCCGGGTGTAAGTTCGAAAATCCCAGACGAAACACGGATGCCTGGAATTTTCGAACATACGCCCGGAGATCCTAAACTTCCAGGCGTTCGTAGCCGAGAGATTCTAAATCTCTGGGCGTTTTTTTTTTTCTAAAAAAAAAAATATTATAAACTTTTTTTCATGATGTGGTTGTTTTTGTTGTTCTGTTGCTGTTGCTGTTATTATATTATGTTGATTATTTTTAATTGCTTGTTATAAATTGTAGTTGTTATTATTTAATATGGTTCATGGAATTTAAAGTTATTGTTTTTGTTATTAATTTTGTTTCATGTATCCTTACTCTAATCTAATGAATTGATTAATGTCTAAGCGTAAATGTTGCCTCTTATTGAATGGACTTGTGTACAATTATTCTAATGAGGTAGCCTTTTGTGGGCTGAAAAACTTTTGCTAGCCTTTTGTCAACTATATTTAGGCAATTGAGCCATAAGGACAGGCGACATAATCTGTTCACAACAACTCTCTTTGAGTCATGTGTTCTGTTTGGATATGGTACTAATGGTAGTGCTCTATGTTGTATACATTAGAAAGAGGATTATAGACTAGGGTCATGTTTTATAATATGTATGTGGCAAACTGATTCAGTGGAAAAGCCATGATTAAGCTGTAGAGGCAATTTATAATGGCCTTGTTTAGCAAATGGTTGTTGGTTGGTTCACTTGGCTTGTTTAACCAGTTGAAATGTTTGGCTGTTTATAATGGCTTTTGAAATTAGCTGTTTAAGCTGGCTGTTTATAAAAGTGTTTGGTAAATTAATTATTGGTTGTTGGCTGTTTATTAGATAATTTGTGGACCAACAAGCCAAAAGCCAACAAAAAAGCTACTCAAAGCAGCTTTTTCATTTTGGCTTAAAAGCCAGCTTTTTCGCTGACTAAAAAGCCAATTACCAAATACATTTTTTGGCTGTTTGACCACCTAAAAAAGCCAAAAGCCAAAAGCCAAAAGCCAAAAGCTAACCAAAAAGCCATTGAAAAGCCAATTTCCAAATATGGCCAATATCTATGTTGTGTTCTGCTTTCTCCTTTTTCCTTTCATATTGGCAATTTATTACAATGCAACAAGGTTCTAGTTCCTTTAGATGTATGGTTCCTTTTCAGTGATTGGGCTCTAACATATTTGTCACACATCAGCTTAGGAAAGTCTTAATGATTTGACATATTTTAAGTGAAATTGTTTGCTTGGTGATATGAACAAAAGATTGGGGTGGTTGTTATTGGTTTTAGTTGAAGCTGATTGGGAATTAATAAGAGCTGTTGTACAGCTTTTTAGCTAGAAATGGTGATGAGGTGAACTCTTATTATTTGAGGCATTAGTTTATTTATTAATACCCACGGTATTGTATGTCGGTAATTACATTTTGAACTGGCTTAAGGTGAATGGCGTTATAGGTGGTACAATACTCCGATATTATTCTGTTAGAGTGTTAGTAATATCTTCTCTATCTTGGAGACTTGGAGGTGAAGGAGAATCGAAAATGCTATAAGGGAGAGTATGAAAAGAAGAGGGCATATAGAATATTGCATTGATAGCTTGGTAGCCTTGGTTTGTTTAGCTTTTGGGAGTCATAAGGCCACTCAAAAAGATGTTCTAGATTATATGAGGGGGGTACTAAAAGAATTTTCTAATTAAAATAATTTTAGTAGGCTAGGTAGTTGTAGGTAGTGGAAATAAGTACATAGTTTCATTTGTTTTAGTGTTATTGTTGTTATTATTATTATTGTTTTGATGTTATATATTATTATTATTTTTTTATTATTGTTATAATTATTATTATTAGTATAATTATTATTATTATTATGAACTAAAATTAGACATTTTAATTTCCTTTTGCAAAAAATTAAGATTGAGGGCTCGGGAACACGACACGCTGTATCACGGCGCTTGAACACGTCAATTATATTAGATTTTAATCATATTCTTAGCTCAGTGGAGAGCTTCTCTCTCTAGTTTTAGGGTTAGCTTTAGGAGTAGATTTTAGAGAGAGAAAGTGAGGAATTTCAATGGTGATTGAGAGATTAATGATTCAATGGTGACAATTGTATTGGAGATCTTCTATATTATTAATGAGCATTTCTAAACTCTATCTCAATTATTGTTTTGTTTAATATTCATGTTTGTTTGATTTGTTTTGATTGGATTTTGATCTTTGATCTTTGATTAGAGTAATTGTTCTTCTTTGAGTGTTGATTCTTGTCTTCTATAGTTGTTTGTTGATTTGATGATGTTGTTAGAGTAGTTTGCTTGCTAGGGTGATGGTGAAGCTTATATGATGTGATGGATTCATGTAAATTGGGGGATAATTGATGGAGTTGATGATGTGTTTAAATTGGCTAATTGATTATGTGCATGTGTGTGTTTGATTTAGGCTTGATCACCCTAGTTATTCACACTAGATTGCATTGTAGGTTCACACTGATACGGACAATTGATTTGTGGCTTGCATTTAACGATTGAGGTGTCTTGTGACGTTCCTAGCTAGAGTTTATCGTAATTGACGCTAGTTAGACATCTAGGAAAATAGCTTGATATGGTCTTTTGGTTGCATGATTGATTTTCCCTTGCATCACTTGACTTAGTCAACTTCCTATCCCCATTTTCTATGTTCATTGCTAATATTTGAGGATCCTAAACCCTAGTGTTTCATTATATTGATTCCTATTTGTTTGGTTTCTTCGTTTAAGTAGTTGTGAGTGTCACCTTTTATCCTTAGACTTCTAGACATTACCGTTCCTTTGGGTTCGACCCTTGACTTACCTCTATACTTGTATTTAGATTAGTTAAGTGTTTATAAATTTTGTTTGGCTTAGGGAGGATCAGTCCAACGACCTAGTCCGACCCTTGTCACCCCTGAAGGGTCAACCTTAGTCATGACTCTCATAAAGTCAAACGGCCTAGGTATTTCAATCTTGTTCTTACCATGGGATTCCAGATGGGGCTTAGTGGTATCCTTCTCCCCAGTTGTTGCCGCACCGGTTGCAACTTGGGTGACTGGCCACCCTTCGATGCCGTAGAGGCATCCGACGCTTTCTTCCCCGAGCGTTCTGAGCTCTCGCTCAGAATCTTCATGGCGGAAGGCGATTTGCCACCGGTCGTAGGACGATCTGGATTGGCAGCAGTAGTTGTCTGGGAAGGATTCTTTTTGGCGGCCTTAGCATCCGGAGTTTTGTCCAGCTCCTCCCCTTGCCTTTTGAAAAGCTTAGAGATGGAGCGTGGAACACGTTTAATGGCATCCTGCGAATTAAGAACTAAATGATACCAGCCGGCAAAAACCCTTGGAAGAAATTTAAAGGAAAACTACATGAGTCAGGTGGTCTTACCCCGCCTTTCTTGGCCTCAACGGCT